ATATGGGTTATCATGGAGGAAAGTTGTTTTCTGACTACTTGTTGTTTTTATTAATTCCTAATCCATATTTACTTTGTGTCAAATTACTTACAATCAATTTTCTGGTGACAAATTATTCATGATTTTTACAAACTCTTATTTGATTCAAATTAGTTTTCTATGGTATATTGGTGTTTGAACACAATTCCTCGTGGGAACGATCTTTACTCATCATTTTATTACTTGTACGATTAGTGCACTTGCTAAACATCCAACAAGTTTTTGCGTCAGTATGTAATAAAAACCCAAGGCTCCAGAAACAACAAAAGGAAGTGGGGAAACAAGAATCGTAGCAAAAGTTCCCCTCTTGAAAAGAAGAATAAACAGGAGAGGAATCAGAAAAAAGACCCCAACCATGACGAATTCCCTGAAGTGGAGTTTGATTGTAATGTAATTAGTGGAGCCTTGGGGGGAGGAGGAGATACGGTAAGTGCTAGAAGAAGATACCTGAGGGAAGTACTCTCTATGCTGGACCGTCCCAGGTTTAAAGAAGACCTGGCCAAGACAGATCCTCTTCTTTTGTACTTTACTAAAGAAGACATGCACGGCGTGTTGCCGGGTCATGTAGATGGTTTGGTCATTGCTGGGACCTTAGTGAATTGCCGGGTTAGGAAGATTTTTGTAGATGCAGGAAGCTGTGCCGACATCATACTCTGGGACGCCTTTAAAAGGATGAACCTGGACGAAGAGGACCTCAAACCTTGCAAAACGACGCTGGTAGCCTTTAATGGAGAGCATACACCTCCTAAAGGTTACATTGATCTCAGATTAACCCTGGGAACAAAAGAAGCGTTCAAGTCGGAACGGGTAAGGTTTATAGTGGCTGATTTCCCATCAGAATACAACATTATTCTCGGAAGGCCAACTATACACCAATGGGACATGTTGGTCTCCACGAAGCACCAAAAAATCAAGATGCTAAGCAGTAAAGCCAAAGTAATTACGATTTGTGGAGATCAAAAAGAGTCCAGAGGATGTTATTTCGACACTGTTAAGGATAATGAGGATGGGCATACTGGTCCACCACGAGTTCACACAGGGGACAAACAAGGAAAGAAGATAGTTCCGCAGAACTCCAGCAAACCTGTTAACGTAGTTGAGCTCGACATGAGGGAAGAAGCTGCGCCGAGGCCAGAACCCAACGGAGAGCTAGAAAACCTGATACTCGAGGAGGATCTCGGACAGTATACTCGGATCGATAAGTCCATCGATCCGAAAATCAAACAAGTGTTGGCCGACTTTCTTAAAAGCAACACGGATGTATTTGCATGGAAGTCGTCAGATATCCCAGGCATCGATCCCGCTTTTTGTTGCCACAAATTGGCAGCTCATCCGGGGTCCAAGCCAATTGCCCAGAAGAAAAGAAAACTGAGACCAGAGAGAATGCAAGTTCTGCAAGAACACGTCAAGGAACTCTTGGATGTCGGATTTATTCGGGAGTTACAATATACGACATGGCTTGTTAATGTGGTAATGGTAAAAAAACCAAATGGGAAATGGAGAATCTGCACTGATTACACAGATTTAAACAAGGTTTGCCCGAAGGATGCCTATCCTATGCCCAACATTGACCAATTGGTAGATAACTCAGCTGGATTTCGTTTGTTGTCCTTTATAGACGCCTACTCTGGGTACAACCAGATTCCAATGTACCCGGCCGATCAGGAAAAGACGACATTTATTGCCGAAAAGGCCAATTATTGTTACAATGTAATGCCATTTGGGCTCAAAAACTCAGGGGCAACCTATCAGAGGATGATGAATAAGGTCTTTGAGGATCAGCTGGGAAGAAATGTAGAAGTTTACATTGATGACATGATTGTAAAGTCATTTGATATGATGGATCATGTCAAGGATCTTGAACAAACATTTCAAAAGCTCAGGAAGTACCGCATCCGCCTCAACCCGGTTAAATGCGCGTTTGGGGTAGCAGCCAAATTTTTTTTGGGATTTATGCTAACCCATAGAGGAATTGAAGCAAATCCCGACAAATGCAAGGCAATACTTGATATGAAATCACCCCGGAGCAAGAAGGAAGTCCAACAGCTAACTGGTCGACTAGCTGCGCTGACCCGGTTCCTCCCGAAGTCTGCGAAAAATGCCCTCCCATTCTTTAAGCTTTTAAAGAAGGAGGCAACTGACGGATGCAACCCGGCTTGTGAAGCTGCGTTCGAGATGGTCAAGAAATGTCTAGCAACTCCACCAGTCCTCTCGAAACAAAACCCGGGAGAGATTCTGATCCTGTATTTGGCAGTAGGGGAGGAAGCGATTAGTGCCGTACTGATCAAAGAAACCAACGACGGCCAAGAGCCAATCTACTTTGTCAGTAGAGCCCTTCAAGGCGCAGAAGTCCGATACCAAAAGCTAGAGAAGGTGGCTTTTGCTTTACTGGTCATGGCCAGAAGATTACGACCGTATTTTCAGGGCCATCAAATAGTTGTCAGGACCAATCAGCCTATCCGACAGGTGTTACACAAGCCGGACCTGGCAGGAAGAATGACCAATTGGGCAATCGAGCTCAGTGAATACGACATAACATATGAAAGCCGGAAAGCAATCAAATCACAAGTTTTGGCCGACTTCATAATGGAACTGACACCAGTAAATTCAAAGCATGAAAAAGCCGGTGATACATGGAAGGTCTACGTGGATGGATCTTCTAACAGTAGAGGAAGTGAGGCTAGAATCATATTAGAAAGCCCAGAAGGAGTAACAATAGAGCATTCTTTGAACTTGGGATTTCCAACCTCAAACAATCAAGCAGAATATGAAACTCTGATAGCCGGGTTGGTGCAGGCTAAAGAAAATGGAGCTAGGAAAGTGCAAATCTTCAGTGACTCGCAACTGGTAACTTCACAGATAGAAAGAAAGTACCAAGTTAAAGGTCCTTTGTTAATGAAGTACCTAAGTCGAGTTCAAGAGATCATGACCGACTTTGATGAGGCGCGGGTTACCCACATCCCACGGGGGGAGAATAGCCGAGCCGACATCTTGTCAAAGTTAGCCAGCACCAAAAATCCAGGTAACCATAGAACCGTGGTTTAGCAAAGTATATCAATGCCAAGTTGCGTGATGGTGATAACTTCGGCAAATGACTGGAGGAAGCCTTTAGTAGATTACCTGGAAAAATGAACACTGCCAGAAGACCATCTGGAAGCTAGGAAGTTGGTGCGAGATTCGACACAATACACAATCATAAATGACCAACTGTTTAGAAAGGGTCTGCACAACCCCATGCTGAAAGACTTGCACATCACACATCATTTTGCATCAGTGGAACACCCACAATCGAAAGGGCATGCCGAAGCAGCCAACAAAGTGATTGCGGAAGGTCTTAAAAAACGAATGTTTGATGCAAAAGAAAGCTGGGTTCGTCAGCTGTACTTTGTCTTGTGGGGTTACAGAACCAGCACCCAGACTGCAACGGGAGAAACCCCTTACAGACTAACGTACGGATGTGAAGCCATGATTCCGGTAGAAATTGGAGAACCCTCATGGAGAAAATTGAATAATCTTGAACAAGGTGAACAACAAAACAGTAAAATGCTTACTGAAGAATTACACCTTGTAGATGAAGCTAGGGTCACAGCTCACTGCCGGAATATGATGGCCAAACAACAGACTGCAGCAAAATACAATAAGAAGGTGAGACCAAGAAATTTCGAAAAGAACGACTTGGTACTCAGGAGAGCAGATATTGGCAACAAGAACGCCAAAGATGGAAAGCTAGCTGCAAATTGGGAAGGACCTTACCGAGTTAGAGAAAAACTCAGAAGAGGTGCATACATCCTGGAGACTGTCGAAGGCAAAGAAGTTAAGCGGACCTAGAATGCAGATAAGCTGAAAACATACTACAGCTAAATCTGCACTACTCCGCTTCAACGTTTCAAAAAATGCGTTTTGAGTTAAATTCTTTCCTCTACTAGGGATTTGACTAAAGCCGAATATGCCAGCATTTCCATGTAATTCTCAATTTGATATCAATAAATGAGGAAAAGTTTTTATTCTTGTTTATTTTTGATACATAAAATCCGAGGTACAAATACAATTTTCCATAAACGACTCTGATCAAGTCAAAATGCCCTTATTTTGGTCATGACACCAAAAAAGGGCAGATGGCATTATTGCTTTTACCTTAGATAAATTGAGTTATGAAATTCAAATTCAATCAGATGACCAAGTCAAAAGATAAGGTTCATTACATATGCAAGCTTACAAGAATGCGTAAGAAAACGAAAATGCGTCAACAAATTGACAAAAAACGGAATCCGTCTAATGCTTTGACCACGGCCAGGTCATGAATTAAAAACTCGTATGATGCACGGGTTCTTGCAATCTAATTGGGATGAAAATTTTCACCCAATAAGTATGAGGAAATAATGCGAATTCGATATACCACTCATCAGGAATGAGGGTGGAATATATCTGGATTTCTCGGTTTTGAATCTGAGCAATTTAGGAATTCTTAAAGCTTAGAGCAAATCCGCGTATGAATGCTTAAATTAACGACATGCAAAACGAAAGCGACAACATTACTGCAACGACATGCTGATTGGCAACAAGTCAATAACCGGGATAAATGCATTCGGAACCAGGAGATGCAAAACAGCATACCACAAAACAGGGTATTCAGAGCAAATTCATACAAGACAAAGCTAAAACCGGGGTAAACCGGCAATGTTAAGGCTAAATCAAAAAATGGACCCAAGGTGTAAGAACCCACACCGCTAATTAAGGAAATTAATTAATTAATTGTGATAAAATAGGAAATGATTCCATAATTGACCCTAATAATTATTTATGAGGCTTAATAATTATAATAAGTGAGTTAGAATGCTGAAAGTCGCTTTTCAGAAGAAAAGTGCAGATACCGGTTCTGCTAGTCAGTATAATTGCGTACCGAAAAAGTATCCCGGAAAATTAAAGTAAGTGCATGATAATTACTAGAATAATATGTAGGACTTGTAAAACGAGTTTCAAGTCCAAATAATGAGAACTGGTGCTAGAAACCGGTACTGGCTTTGAAAAGCGCGTACCCGAAAGGTGCTCAGAAAAATATAATAAAAATATGATAATTCTTGGAAAAATGTGTAGTTTCAGAATCCAAAGTTTGAGATTAAAATGCTAAGTGTAGCAATTAAAGTAAATATTGTGTGTTTTAATGAGTTTTGGTTATATATACCCTCATTATGGGCACAAAACCCTAGGTGCCACTCTTTCTACGTGAGTTTCTGGTGTGGTCAGCTGATACTCTGTTCTTGGAGGTTCTCTTCTCCTTGAGAGGCCAAGTTCCTACCTTTTCTTTGATTTCTTCATACTTTCTCTTGGTGAAACACTTGATGTGAGTGAGGATCATCATTGGGAGTGTGTTGGTGGTCTTGTTCTGAGTTTTGAAGCCAGTGTGAGGGAGGTTTGGTTGTGACTTGTTGGTTTTGGGTTGAGAGAAGCCTTGTCTTGATTTTTGGTGGTCCAAGTGTTGATCTTTTGTGCTTAAGGGTCAACCTTTCTTACCATTTTCGTGCATCCTTTTGTGACAGTAGCTTGAGACTGATTGTGAGCTCCAAAAGGCAACCTTTCCTTCTGTTTTGAGCTGGGATATGTGTACCAACCTTTAACTTGAGTTTAAATGCTTAAAAATGGTACCTTGATGCATCTAATGACTAAAAGATGATAACTTGTTGGGTAATGTTGTACACGCCTAGAAATGCATGATTAGGTGTTTAAAATCGGTAAAAACCCAACCTTGAAGGATATCTTCACGAAATGCAGAAACTGCATTCTGTCGTGAAATATCTGGATATCTGCCCGTGGAATATCCGGATATTGGATATCCGGATATGATATCCGGATATGTGATATCCGGATATGGGGTTTTGGGATATCCGGATATTGGATATCCGGATATGGGAATCTGTATATCCGGATATTGCATATCCGGATATGGACAGTAGATATCCGGATATTGCATATCCGAATATGGTCCCGAGGAATATCCGGATATTCTGGGATTTCGCAGAACAGTAGCTGTGCTGTGTGTACAGTAGGCTATTGGGGGGTTTGTAGACCCTAGATTGATGAAGTTGAACTTCTGTAATTAATGGACTAAGTCAGAATCATGTGATTAAGGGCTTGTGGCTTTGTTAGAAGCTTTAAGACATTAAAACGTAATGAGAAGGCGTTGTCTTTAATTTGTATGCATGTGGTACATGTTTATTGATTTATATTTGGTCCATATCAGATTGTGATATGCTGTGATTGGACTTTGAGCTTGTGGCATTGGATAGCTAGCTTAGAGGTAAGCTTTCGTGTCCTCGGTTTAGCCATGTTGTGGTTCCACCATGTTCCATGGGGATATGGTATATGCATGTTGTGTTACATGTTTTTGATGTTTTGGAAATGTTGTTGAGCTATTGTATGTTAGTGCCTTGTTGATATGCATGGAGGTGTTCCACCTATACGGTAAGCCTGAGTATGTGGAACATACAAGATGGTGAGGCTGTGGGTGAGGTGCAAGCGGTGTCCCTTGTACTATATGTAGGGAATAGACATATTCTTACATTTCTCTAGCTAGTAGATAGTGATTACACACATGCCATAGATATCTGTTGCACTACATAGTTTTGGAACTGATAATGATATAAATGCTTTTAGAACTTATATTGCACATGTAAGTGAGCTTGGGGAGGAAGATCCTTGAGGACCCCTTATCTTACTGAGATTTCTTATTTAGAGATCTCACCCCACGTTTGGGGAATGCTTATTTCAGGGTCAGGTAATATTGAGACCTCAGGCGGCAGGAGGCCGGAGCTGAGTTAGATTGCTGTTATATTATGCTGCCATGATTGGATGCTGGATATGCATGCTGCTTATATGCCTATAGCTTCAGTTTATGTTTATGGAGTTTTATGTTGACACTGGTTGTTTACTATGTTTATTTGGTGAGCATGGGGATTGTCCATGACACATAGTATTGTTATGTCTTGATTATGTTTTGAGTCTTTTGGAGTTGTATTAATGTATCAGGATATTGTCCGGATTACGAGATGTAATGTCGTGATTTAGATACACACTTTATTTATATATTGAGGTATTTTAGTATATGTCTTATTGCAATTTACATACAGGCGTCATTTTATGAAATTGATTAAGTAATCAAGTTGGTAATTGATAATGACGTCATAATTGAAAAGAAAAAGAATATTCCGCATTTTTAATTAAGCACCGCTTAATACGATGTAATGTTAATATTCCGAGTATACACGGGGTGTTACATTTTATGGTATCAGAGCAACGGTTCAAGGGAAAAGCCTGTATATATTAGAATGATTAGGATGTTTGGTTGTGTCTGTTTTGTGTGTTTGCTCCGTCGAGTATTATTATGATAATGCATATGTGACCACATTGCGTGGGCTTGATCAACTCATAATTTGTGTAACTTGTGCAGAATCATGGTAAGACCCGGGAGAAACCGCGAGACTTCGGAGTATCGGCCCGATCCTGTCCTGGCTGCATTGGCTGAGATGTAGGCGGCCCGACAAGCTGACCAGGAGGCCATGAGAATGGCAAACCAGGGCATGCTGGACGCCGTCAGAGAGGCGAACAGGAAGGCCACTGAGGACGTGTTGGAGGCCAACCGTCTGGCGAACATGACGATGTTTAGAGTCATGTTGGAGGAGATGAGGAATGGCCCTGATGTTGGTCCTGTTCCTCCGCCACCACCTCCACCGCCACCACCACCACCTCCACCCAGTCTGCAGGATGACTCTCAGAGTCAGATGGGAGATGGCAGTCACCTTACGGGGGCCTTGCAGACCTTCCCTATTTTTATTGAGGATCGTGATGAGATCGATCGCCGGCTGAATGCTTTCCGTAAGCATAAGCCATCTGCCATTGATGGATCCTTTGATCCTGTTGCTGCGGCGCGTTGGCTACAGGCGTTGGACAAGATATTTGGGGTCATGCAGTGCACAGATCCGCAGAAGTTGATGTTCGCTACTTACATGCTGGAGGGCGATGCCCATGAGTGGTGGACAAACCTTTCTCATGTCTACGAGATGCAGGGTCATGTGATGACATGGCCTTTGTTTGAGGATTTCTTCTTGGGTCAGTACTTTCCATATGACGCTCAGGAGAGGCAGCAGGGAGAGTTTGACAGATTGGTTCAGGGCTCGTTGTCTGTGGACGAGTACCTGGCTAAGTTCAACCAGTTGGTGAAACTTGCACACTTCAGGATGGCGAGGCCTACTCCTACATTTCTGGCTGCTAAGTTTCGCAGGGGACTTAGTGAGGATATTGCTGGTTACCTAGCTGGTTCTGCTTCTAGAGATTTTGGGACACTGGTTCAGCAGTGTCGTGATATTGAAGATTACTACAGCTCGAGTAAGGCCAAGAAGGCCAAGGTTGCTGAGGCGACGAAGGTTGCAGCTGGTAGTTCCACTTCTTGGCGAGACAGGAAGTTTGGGAACAAGGGCAAGGGTAAACAGATGGCAACTCGGCAGGCGCCGAATCAGTTCAAGAGGACTTCTGCTCAGGGGAATGCAGCGAGACCTCCTGCTCCCAAGTTTTCGGGATGCAGGAAGACTCATTTTGGGCCGTGCTCTACCAGCCAGTTGATTTGCTTTCAGTGTGGCAAGGAGGGCCACTTCTCCAGAGACTGTCCGTCGGCGATGGCGAGGGCTACTGCAGTGCAGGCAGTGCCACTTTAGATGGTTCCCCATCCACATACTTCGGCACCGGCAGTGCCACCATCTTCTGGGAGAGTTTATACTCTGGATCGTCAGCAGTCGGACCGAGCTCCGAACCTTGTCAGAGGTACTGTTACGATTGGT